ATTCGAAGGCATTGGATGGGGTTCCCTACATTTTACGGCCACTCCCACCTTCGAGCCGTGGACCTGGTATCTTTCCTGTCCCAGGTCCTTCTGCCTGCCTCATGCGCGACTTTCAGAAGTCCTTAGGATGCGCGGAGCGCAACTGTTTCTTGGGCCAGTTGACCCTCGGCGGGCTATAGGGCGAAGAAGCGCGAATCTGTCGTCAGCGGCTGCCAGTTCCTTGCAGTTCACCTCGACCATCGCTGTGATGCGGGACGGGACGCAGGAGGCGGAGATGCCGAAGAGGACGCTGTAGGTGTAGCTGAGTTTGAAGGCCATGCAGCTCTCGACCCAGCCATACTGGTTGAGGACGTTGGTGTAGAGGCGAGAGTACATACCCTTGCCCGGCCCGCCGGCGGAGAACGAGCCGCCGCCGCCTAGTAGGGTTTGCAGGGTGGCGAGGGCGTAGATGTCTGGAGAAGAGATGGGGAGAGCTTCGAAGGCGATGTGGATGTGGCTGAGGCGTGGATGTGTGGGGTTTGCGGGTGGGGGGATCGGGGGAAGGTCGAGGTAGCCGCCTGTGTAGTGGGAAGGGCGATGGAGGTCGAGGGTGGATGGGTGGAGAAGGGAGGTGTCGAGGGGGGTGACGGAGGCGCTGTGGGAGGAGGAGGTTGAGAGGTGTTTGAGGAAAGGGATGTGGGAGAGGAGACCGCCACTGGTGGCCTTGGAGCTGGATGTAGGAGTTGATGGAGGGGGAGGTGACGGGATGGATGACAAGTTTGCGGAGATCGTTGAAGTCGTCGAAGACGGCGAGAAGGATGGTAACGAACGCAATTCCTCTTCGGCCAGCGTCGTTGCCGATCCCGGCCCAAATAGCCCACGTTTACCCCGTTTCATATCCCCAAAGTACTTCTCCGTCAACCTCACCGCCTCCTCATGCGCAACCCCCGCAAAAGCCACCACCATCCGCTCCGGCTTATAAAACGTCTCTCGATACTCTGCACCACAACCGCGATTAATATCCCTAGCCGCTCGCGCGGACACAACAACGGATTCCCCAACGTATTATCCGATAAGCAGCAATAATTCACAGCTCGCAGATCATCTCGGCTTCGCCCAGAGCTCCGTGATCTCATAATCCGCCACTCCAGCTGCTGCTGCACCTCCTCCTCCGTAATCAGGGGTCGCGGATCGTCTCCGCCAGCAGCGCCAGCGTCGTCGGCACGGCCGAGTTGAAGCTGGCGGACTGGTACATGAGCGACTCGCGCGCGGACGCGCACTGGATGTTCCCGCCCAGGCGCTCGAGTGCCTCGACCATCTGGTCAGCCGTCCGCTGCGAGGTCGATTTGAAGGCTAGTCTGTCGATGATGTGGCTGACGCCGCGAAGGCTCTCGTTCTCGTAGCGCGAGCCTGCATCGACATATACGCCTACACCGGCGAAGGGGCCCGGTAAGGACTCGGTGGCTACACGTAGGCCATTGGAGAGTTCTGTTACTTGATCGAGTTCAGAGGGGTCCTATAATGATGGAGTTTTTCATTAGCCATTTTTTGTTCCCAGCCCTGTTGTAGTTGTTGTTCTTGTTTTCCCGATCCCGGTACCCACGGCAACTTAATGGGAAAAGAACAAACCAACCTTAGCTTGGGTTTCAATTTGAGATGAAAGTGCCCTTGAAAGTGAGCGTGGGGTGCGTGTGAGGCGCCTAGCCGGGGTAACGGCTCTAGTTGTTAAACGACGCATGATAGTCTCTATTCCGTTGTTGGAAGCCGGCGCTATACAGAGTCGTTGTGCTCAAAGCTGGCAAGCGGACATTTCGTTCAGCAAAGGAAAAAAAGTTGATTCCTGAGAAAGGGAAGAGAGGGTCTCACCGCTTTCGGCAGAATCATGATGAGTCAGCAGTTTCATTAACTAACTTAACTAGTTATTTATCTTGGAGGATAACGTTGTTGTGGCACGTGACTAGGGTAGGTGTAGTAATCACCAACACCCCCCCTTGCTACACCGTGGCCTATAATAAGCCGCCACCCGGGGCCTCCCCCATCCTCAAATCTTTCAAAAATGCAATAATAATTACATGAATCAGACCCTGATTTCCTTATTAGAAAAGGTGTCTGTACAGCAATAACTGTAAAAATTAAGAAATATATGTAAAATTCATTGATCTGCTGTATCATTATTATCATTCAATCATTTCTTCTTCTCAATTTCCTGAATGTTAACTCTCTTGACAAATTCTTCAAATGCAGACTTTATCAGTGACTTGATAAGCTCATCAGCTATGTTCACTGTGAAATTAACATATTTCATCATAATTTTCTCTTTTTCAATCAAATTGTAAAGAATATGATATCTAATCTCAATATGATATAATCTTCATGTTAAGAATTCTCTCTTTACTAGATCAATTACTTTCTTATTATTAACTTATAGATATAAGTATATTTTCACTTTTTCATCATTTATTAACTCAGTATTATATAATATATTATTCAATCAGATTATTTTATAAGCTATCTTACTAGCTGTAATATATTCAGCTTCTGTGATTAATTTAATAATAGATATCTATCTCTATAACTGTTATAAGATTGATGATCTGTTAATCAATATAATATAGCTAATAGTTAATTTATATTGAGAATTCACCTCTGCTCAGTCTGAATTACAGTATATCACAGAACTCAGATCATCTTCTATCTTCTTCTTATATAATATATCATGATTTTTTATCTTCTTGATATAATATAGAACATGCTTCAATGCTGCTTAACATACTTTGTATAAATATAAGTTAAAATGTAAGAGATAGTTGACTGTGAATATCAGATCTGACTAACTGCTTAAGATTAAATACTGCAATGATTTCAATTCTTGATAATATCTTATAGTTATAAAGTTATTATTCAATTTATCATTCTTATCAGATAAAAATTTCAGTTATATATCTGTTATCATTAAAGTCTCTGCAGAATTAATCTTATTTATTTCAAAATCTTTCAATATTTCTTTAATATAATAACTCTGTATAACTGCTAGATTTTCATCTCAGTATTTGATCTTCATTCTCAGATAAGGTTTATTCTGTTTAACTTCTTTTATCTCAAATCTTTTTCTAATTTTCATTAAAATTCACTTAATTTCACTCTCTTCAGACTCTGTGATTCAACAGTCATTGATATATAGTGTTAAGAATAACTTATAAATTAAATGATAAAGAAATCTGTTATTGTAAGATAAGTTCTTAAATTCTAGATTTATCAAGTATTCTGTTATAAGAAAATATCATATTCTTACTATCTATTTCATTCTGTATAAGCTCTGATATACAAGCTCTATTAATTCATCATAACTGTGCTTAATCTCTGTGAGTAGTTGCATAAATATTATCTCATTCTGAGATAATATCTTATTTAAAAACATAGATATATAGTCAATTGATCTGACTTTTCAATTCCTTGCTATTAATATAGTAAATAAGCTCTGTGATATACATTCAGACATCACTGCTGTATATAACTTATTATAATGAATATCTTATTATTATAGAAATTCTCTAATCACTTAATAAGCTCTAAAACAGATGATTTCATTCTTATTATTTAACTTTCAATTATATACTTATTTATCTGTAAGAATGTTCATTTCTGAGGCCTTTTTAATAACAATATATGTCTTCTTTCATTCAAAAGTTTCCACTTTCTTTCTCATTGTCTGATATCAATATTCTCAGTCATGACTTCTTTTGACCTCTGTCAGTGTGATTGAACAGTTATTAAGAATACTAAGTACAGAATCTTCATCATTCACAGAGTTATTTATATCATTATTAACAAGTTCTGTCTTATTATCTAGTAGATATGTTAGTTTCAGCACACTATTTATATTATTATCAGTAAGCATCTTTAAAATATCAGATTTATTCTTTATAAGTCTTCTTAGAAGACAGTGTTATTATTTCTTTATAATATCAAGAATATTTAATTTCTCTGATAGTTTAATTACTTTTCTAATGACATTTACTGATACTTCTTCTGTTATCAATTCTTTATTAAAAATAATATCTCTTACAATCTCAAGCTTTCAGGTTGCAGAGTCTCAGATACAATATTAATACAGTTCTTAATATTCAACTAATTACTATTACTTACTATTAGTTCTATTCATAAGCTTATTAATAATCTTCAGATTCTTCTTATATATCTTACATTCTTATCTATGTATTCAATAAGTAGAAGATTGAACATCTGTTCAAGCTTTAAAAGAGAATAATAAGATCTCTCTCTGACATCTGTAAATTTTCATTGATATTAAGAACATGTTAATCATTATAACTGTAGCTTGAATAGCTTCATCTCAAAGTTCTCTTATAAGCCTGCTGTTAAATAGTAAGCTTCTTGTCTTTTTATCTACAATACAATTAATATATTCTGCAGAGCTGTTGAACTGTGATGTATTAGATATAGTAATCTCATATATGATTTCTTTTCATTAGTAGTAGATCTTTAATTCATCACTTTTAAATTCATCTCTATCATTTCAGTGTAAAGTCTTAATTTGATGTTAAGTAGTGATCTTAATTTCATTAATAAAGATTATCAAATATACAGTGATCTCACTCTTTGATATTATAAGAATAATTCATCTGTAGTGTGTAACATTATCTATAATACTTATTCAATAATTAGCTTCTTCATGAGTAGAGAGATTGATTTCATTATATAGTATACAGTCATCATCTGTAAGATTCATGAAGAATCTTATCACAGATTTGATAGTTCTTATCATTGATATGAATATTAAATATGTCATTTTTATCTGTATATAGGTCTTACAGAATAGCAAAGCTCTGTCACTCTTAATTCTCATTCTCAGTTATAAATCTACTACTAATTTAGTGATATCTACAGAATTGAGATGATTAAGCTTTTAATATCATTGTAACATTGTGTATTTAATAATCTTGATATTCTTATTAAGTAATACTAGCAGAGAATCTTTTTTCTCTACAGACTGTAGAATTTTCATCAGTTCAAATTTATTATTTAGTATTATAAATTGAATTAAGTCTCTAATCATTGATTATTTTTTCAGAATATAGATATTCTTATCACTTAATTTAGCAGTAAAACTCAACATCTTGTCAGAAGAGATTAGTAAGATTGAATAAGTATTTTCATAGATTAGTTACTTATATATATAGCTCTGATATACAAGCTTCTTAAAACTCATAAGATTCATCTCTAGCTTGAAAATGTAGTGAATATTCTGTAGCAGTAGATTTACTTCTTTAACTGATATATTCATCTTCTCTATAACTGTTATAGAAGCTGTTAATTTATCAGTTATCTTCAATATAATATTAATCTTCTGTGATACTATTAATATGAGATTCTTATAAAATGTAGTATAAGCACTAAATTCAGAGTTCAGAATTCAGATATCTTTATCAGTTTAATCAGTAGAATAGACTGTTTCTGTTATATGAAATACTTACTCAATGATATTATAAACTAATACTAAGTCTGTTTTATTCTTATTCTTATTCTTATTCTTATCATAGCTAGTAGAGTGTTTTTCAGAAAATTTCAATCAGTAATCTATTTAAATATGATCAATCTTCTAACAATAATAATATATTTTGGTAGTATTATTATTCTTTCTATTCAGCTTAATGAAATCTTTATTCTTATTCTCAGAGATCTTCTTCTTCTTCTTATTCTTTTTATTCTTTCTATTAAAATCTTGAGCATTATTTACAGAGATCTTTTTATCAGAGATGAGAGATTTATTAGTAACTGATAATTATAGAAGAATATCTCAATACAATTTTATGAAATTATCTTTAAGTGTTCTAGTATTCTCATTCTTCTCTATTATATTTATTCAATTCTTTATAAAAGATAATTAATCTTTACTAATCTCTGTAAGAAGTCTATTGAAAAACATGAAATCTTTAATATTATATCTCAATCAGATATAATCAGTTCTGATTATAATTAAATATTTAATAAATGTATAATCAGAATTCTTTGATTTTAATATTATCTTAATTAATTCTTAAAATAGATGAGTTCTGTAGATAGCAGATCTCTCAGTGAAATTATTCTCTATAATAGACTATAGAGAATAAACAGATAGTTAAGACTTCTTAAGTATAATAAAGTAAGATTTAATCTGCAGAGTAATCACAGATTATATATAATTATATAATCAGATATTTCATTCTGACTAAAAATATTATATATTTATACTGATATTCTCATTAGAATTAATCTACTTATTATTAAGAATATCATTTATTTCAGATTATCTTACTATAAACAGAATCTCTTCTTTTTATATAGAATAATTTACAGAGTCAGTGAGTATAACAGACTTCTTTATAAATCTTATTTAATCTCTGAATTTATTAAGAATCTTTATTAATACAGATATTCTATTCTTTTATTAAAGATAGTTTATTAAATCTGTACTAAGCTCTTCATTTTTATCTCTATCTATCTTTATTTACTTGACTTCATACTGAAGTCTTGTAATTTCTAGTCTTATATAAGTTTTCTCACTTACAGAGTTATTATTATTTTAGTTACTTAAGCTCTCTATATTATCTAACATCTCACTGATATCTTCAATCAGGTTTTTATATTTATTATTAAACTCATCAGACTGTTTCTCTGTGATGATTTTATTCAGCTTAAACATCTCAGACACTGTCTTTCAATTTGTTATTAATATTAACAGTGATCTGTGATCTTGTGTTTACTACTCTGATGTTTTCTCATTTCTTCATCTTAGAGACATGTATTCTTTTATTAAGTCAGATATTCTCTCAGATCTTAGATTAATCATGAGTTCAATCACTTAATAAATTATCTAGGCATACTTGTAATGATGTGTGAAGATGTCAATTGCACATTATTTTACAGCTTTTCATTGTGTAGAGAGCTTCATAATCTCTTGGAGAATAATATTATTGTGTTGTGTTCTAACTATGCGAGTTACACTAAATGGATAGGTTGGGGTGGCACGTGACTAGGGTAGGTGTAGTAATCACCAACAATTTATGGAACAGATCCTACACTTTTTCCAGTATAGATACTCAGAGTGCCAACCTTCAACCTCCATCAGCTAGTAGGATGGAATAGGAAAAAGGGGACTCTGTAGGGAGATACCGAGTAGATGAGACGAAATTGGGATTTGATTTATCCAAAGAGTATAAATATAAAATCATAGGATTCAAAAGACTTATCGTCCTCAACAATCAGTAATCGATTGCGGCAATAGTGTAATGGAGAACGTTAACTATACTATTATAGTAACTAAGCAAGTTGTATTTCTATCTATAGGTTGGTGCAAGGAGAACGCCCAACCCCGTCCAAAAACCGCATCTCAACGTCAAGACATAATTAGAGCAGTAAAAAAGTAAAAAATCTACACACACACACACACACACACACACACACATAAAACTCCCTCAATTCTCCACCGCCCACCTCCGATACCACTCCAAACACTCCGCATTAGCCACGCTCGCCCCAGTCTTGATATTCAATCCACACAGAATCTGTTTCACCGCATTCTCGACTTTCTTGCCGTTGGTCGTCACGGGGATCTCCGGGCACGCGTCTACAATCGCAGGCACATGGCGCGCGCTGAGTTCCTTGCGGATAGTGGCCTGGATCCGGCTGGCGAGGTCGGGGGGCATGAGTAGTTGTGTTTTGTTGTTGTTGGTGTTATCGTCGTCGGTGGCGAGGATGTCCTGTACGCTATCGCTGTTGGATATCGATACCGTTGACGAAGATGCTGAGACTGATGCGGAGACTGATGCTGATGTAGAAGCGGAAGTCGTGGTAGTAGTAGTAGTAGTAGTGGTGGTGGTGGTGGTGGTGACGGGAGAAATGGACCTGGCCAGCTTCACAAACAACACAACCGTCTCATCATTCTCAATCCCATTCCGTCTCCGGCCAATACACAGCGAATCCTCAACCTCATTCGCAAAATGCTTTAGGATAATATTGTAGATCTCCGCGCTGCCGAACCTCACTCCAGCCGGCTTGAGCACCCCATCGCTACGACCCAGCATCTCCATCCCGCCCGTCTTGCTGTTGACTTTCACAAAGTCGCCATGGTGCCATGTTGACGGGCCGAAGAGGTCGAAGTAGCTCTTACGATACTTCTCTTCGCCTACGGGTCCTGGCGGCCAAAACATAACTGGCTGGGCTGGGAAAGGTACCGTACACACGAGGTCGCCCGCGGCGTCGGTGGCGCTGATGTCCTTGCCGGCGTAGTCGAAGACAGAAACGGCCATGCCCAGGCCGCGGCATTGGATTTCCCCGCGGTAGACGGGGAGGATGGGGCAGGATGCGCCAAAGAGCGAGATGATGTCTGTGCCGCCTGTGATAGAGCCGAGCATGATGTCTGGGTGGATGGAGGAATATACGTAGTCGAAAGTTGACGGGGCGAGTGGGGAGCCGGTGCTGAAGATGGCTTTCAGGGTTCGCAGCTGGACGGGTCTGTGGAGGTGTTTTGTTGGATTTAGGACGGACTGTTCGAGGATGGAGAGGTACTTGCAGATGTGCCGAAGTGGGTGATGTGCAGTTCGTCGATGAGGCGGGGCATGGCCATATCGCCTTTCCCATCCTCTGTGTCCAGGGCCGGAATGGGGAGCCGTCATAAACACTATACTTGCGCCACTGGCCAGAGCAGAGACAAGCCAGTGCCACATCATCCAGGTTGTGGTGGTGAAGTAGAACAACCGATCGCCGGGACCGATGTCGCCATGGAGCGCATGTTCCTTCTTGTGCTGTATGAGCGTGCCGAGAGCACCATGGACAATTGGCTTGGGGGCGCCAGTTGTACCCGATGAATAAAGAATATAGACCGGGTGGTCAGGTGGGAGAGGCTCGAACCGCAAGGGTGCAGACGAATCTTTCAACGACGACGAAGTATTAAGAAAGTCAGCAAAAGTGATGGATCGGCCATTTGGCGATTTCACTGATTCCACATCGAACTCATAGCCTTGCACAGCATCGAAGACCACGACGTAGCGCAACGAGGCAAGGCTTGCCGTCAGCTCGACGACCTTGGCGTGTGTTGGGTGGACTTTCCCGTTGTAAGGGGATGCATTGTCCACGAAGAGAATGACGGGCTCAATCTGCTGCAGCCGTTCCAGCACGGCATGCACACCGGTATCGGTCGAAACAGCACTCCACAGGGCACCTATAGAGGTAGCAGCCAGCATGGCCACGACGGTGTTTGCATGATTGCCCACGAAACCGGCGACACGGTCCCCCTTGACGACGCCGGCTTCACGCAGCGATAGGGCACAGCGCCGGACGCGCTCTCGAAGATCCTTCCATGAGATGTGTTCCCGGGTGGATTCGGTGGCGGCAATGACGGCGACGGAGTTTTCGTCTGGATTGCTTGCGGGGAAGAGGAGGTTTTCGGCGAAATTGAGGAGACTTCCTTGGAAGAAGACTGGTTTGGGGAATAGAGGGGTGTCCTTATCTAGAACCTAAAGAGATGGCGGGGGTCTGTTAATCCATTGTAATCCATTGTAAAAGTAAAATCCGGAATTGCGCTGCTTGGCGGGGCAGGGGGAGGAGGGGGGGAATGGGGGGATGCGACGAGGGAACGAGGGGAATATTTAGTTATCCTGCCAATTGAAGGGATAACATGAAGATATTGTTAATATGGCTATGGTACACACCTTATCGTATGTTTTCTGCGCCTTGACACCGGTAAAGTGCCACACTTCCTCCCAGAAGGTTGCTGGCTCAGAAACACTCCACTGCCAGAGATCGTGATAGTTGGTGAGTTGTAGGCCGTATTTCTGGCTCACGAGGGTCATGAACTTGTGAATTCTAGTATTTCCGGGGGACGAGGGATGCCATAGTTGTTTGGCTAATGTGGCATCGCCATTGCTCGAGGTATTGTCCGTAGACGGCATTTGGATTTATATTTAGTTTTATACGCTTGCTGAATGGGCGTGAATTGAGAACTAGATAGAGATTGCAGCCTTTTTTTCAGTATATACGTATATATGTTTTTTTAGCCGATTCGGCAGAGCAAGCAATGATGGTAGTAGAGGGATAGAGATCTATTTCATGGAAAAGATCCCGCCATTATATAATATTTGTTCTTGTTCCTCTCCTCCGGTTGATATCAGACGCTCAGACGGGCGGCGCAAACCCGGCGCAAACCCAGCACGCAAAACCAGCCCCAAGCTAAATAAATACCCTGACGCCTACGCCTACCGCTTCCTAGACCGCCGGTTCCTTTCTTTTCTCACCCGAGAAATCTCGTTCTCGTCCCGCCTCGGAGCTGTTGGGCGACCTGGCACCATCCCCGGCTGCCGTGGCAAGCAGGGAAATTCGCCGAATCGCCGTATCTCTGCTTATTTAGCCAGGGCATTCTCGTAACTAGCTCTGTATACTGGGTCACCGCAGATATCCATGCCATTGGGGGGGGGGTGTGGGAAGTGGATTCTTTTGTAGGCTCGAATGATTTATTATTTCTACGGGGGAGAAATAGACGTGGCTGGGACAGCTGGGAAGGGTTTGCCAACAGTTACGCAGCTGGAACTCGCTACTAATTTGTATATAAACTTCCGTATAACCAACTATATGAACTCCCTGCTTGTTGAGGAAGGGTGGAATAAGTAAATTGATAGTTACACTTATCATCCGCAGGTACAGGAATCCGCCCCAAGAAGATGGATTAAATACTCGTACTCAAATGGCCTTGTGTGGAAGCGGTCGTGGGGGAGTCAGATACCAGTTGCGCATCTAACCGAAAGAAACGCAACAATGTCTCCTTAGCACGAAAGGTTTCGGCTCAAGGAGAACTTGTCACCACCATCCACTAGAGTAGTTAGGGCTTGCAACGCCTATCAATATATATATAGCTGGAAAAAAAGCTGGTAACCATGCTGCCTGCGTGTTAGCAAAGAGGTGCTTCTCTCTGAGACAAGCCAACAGTGATTTGCAAGATAGAGTGGGCTGTCTGTCTCTCACAGGCAGATAGTATTTATGCAGCATGTTATGCGGAAAACTCCTTCTTATACAAATGTGCTATCTCCTCAGATCAATTGGTTATGGTTCTTCAAGATGTAGAGGATGGAGCAGCCAACCAATCTAACTGGTTTAGTCGAGCCATGACGCTGCTTTTGCAGGTCCAGGTTTCAGCAATTTTTGGCCCGAACTAAAAAAAAAAGTCGGACTCGAGACAAACAAAAACGCTTCCAATATTGCTTCAAACCAGACATCTCAACTACCATACGATAACCTGCATACCTCCTACCTACCTAATCTCTGATCTAACATTTGTCTGCTCCCTTTAGCTCTTCTGCTTCTTCTTTCTTATTTGATCTATCTTTTGTAATATATATAATATATCCATATATACAACATCCACAATGGTTAAGCTACAAGAAGTCGAGGACGAGCACTTCACTCACAAGCCCACCCAGCATCCCAAGAGTGGTGCCCTCCTCGAGAGCGACGATGATGATGATGACTTCACAGATACCGGTATGTCCCTATCGTGCATTGGTGATCGTGTGGAATTTCCCTAAACTATACATACCTACCCATGTGTGGACTGATGTGGTCTTGATTTTGATATATCATATTGATCAAGTTGTCCATCGATCCCATCATCTCTCTCCCTTCCCAAACTAAACAACATTCCCAAAATATTTTTTTATATGCAATGTATCTAATCTATACACCTATTCCCAAACAAAAAATCCAGACTCCGAATTCTCCACCGAATCCTACGACGCCCTGCCCGAGGACGAATCGTTGTATGAAAGAATCGCGGCCCTAAAGGACATCATCCCCCCACAATCCCGACACAGAATCTCCAGCTCCATCTCCTCGCTCACCTCCTTCGCCAAATCCACCATCTCCTTCGGCGGGAAGACGCTCTGGGTTCTCAGCACGAGTGCCTTCCTGCTCGGTGTTCCCTGGGCCCTGGCCCTGGCCGAGGAACAGCAGTATGTACAGATGGAGAGGGGAGCAGGGGATGATTAAGGGGGCTAATGAGGTATGGTTTGGTTTTTTTATTTTGTTTAGCTTCGATGACGTAGAAAGGGGGAAAGGCCTTTCTTTTTCCGGTGGCGGGTTTGTATGAGTTGCACTTTTATACTGACTGGCTGTTTCTTGTTTTTGTAGATGTTGACGCCCGGTGCCGCCAGCGCTCTTACCAACCCTGATGGGAAGACGGAGGGCCAGCCATCTCTGTAGAAACTATAATGCAATGACCAGGAAAAGAGAGGGGTGGGGGAGTGAGGAAGTTGTCGAAGCGGGTTGAAAGAAACGGGCCGGCAAGGGTTTGTTAAGTTGAAAATTAGGTGGAATATTTTCGTTGACGTACTACGAGCGAAACGGCTTTCTCCCTAGCACTGATATACCACCAGGACGACGGAAATGCAAATATGCGAGGAAAAAAAGAAAAGGGGAAAGGGAAACCATACATCCTTTTTTCACCCCTTGGATTGAGAGGGGAGAGGAGAGGAGGGCGGAGGAAAGGTTGATGTCAACTTGCGGGATCTCCTTCTTTTCCGCCAATTCCAACCACATAAGATATCCACAGCACTTGCGAACTGTACGTGATGGCCCATCGTGCTAGCCCCGCTCGACGATTTCCATATCGACGACGGGATATCATGGGAAAGAGAAATAACGACCCGTGGCCTGGCAACCAATCCAACGAGCCAGCTACTGTGAGTAGTCTTTATCAGATTTCTTATCTCTTTTTCTAATATTAATGATTGTAGTTCAGATGTTCTCTATTCAGCTTATAAAGTTTCTTAACTTATTCTCTAAATAGATCTTGAGAACAGATCAGCAGAATCTCTTATAATTATTCTCTAAATAATTCAGTCAGTTCTTGACTTTAATATAATAAAGATCTATTACTATATAAATAATAGCTTCTTCATCTTTTATATTACACAGTCAGACTTATAAGTCAATTTTAAATACAAACTTATAAAAGCTTTTATAGATTATAATTCAGTAGATAATTTTAAGTAATTACAGCTTAAGAAAGTTTCTTTTCAGTTCACAGATATCTCTGAAGATTATATCTAGAGACTTAGTTTAAGAGTGTTTACAGATAGTAAGTATTTCTTATAGAAAAATAGTCTAGTTCTGTAGAAAATACTTAAGAATATTCTTTACTAAGATTAATTTATTTATAAGTTTAAAAAGTTTCTCTGTTATAGATATAGAGAATAATATTCTATAAGTAATTAATAAGTTCTCTGAGACTTCTTTTATAAGAATTATTCATGATTCAGATAACTGCTTCTAAGTGTCTGTAGTAGAGTTTACAGAGATTAAAGTATATAAGTTTCTAGTTCTTTCAGTTATAATGAGCAGTTGCTAACTGACAGAGTTTAAAATATAAGAATAAGTACTTACAGATGATTATTCAGATGTTTACAACTTGATATAATATATACTAATAGTGTAACGTGGCGGAACTGAAGCAGTGACTAGTTAATAATGTTATGTAAAGATAGTTGTTTGAGAAGCTGTATAAGTAAGCTTAACTATCTTGCTTAAATAGTGAGCTTGTAGACTACAGAGTTATTACAAGAATATCACAGATATAATACTTAATATACTAAGAAGATTGTATAAGAAACACAGTAACTCTTGTATATATTTCAGTAGAAGAAAAATGAATTACTGATCTTTTTAATAAGAAGTTAGTATCTAGTTATTCTATATAGATAATAAGTAAATACTCTTCTGTTATTTCATGAGTGAGAATAGCTGAAGTAATATCTCAGCAGTATCTTATTATTAAGAAAGAGTAATCTGCTAATCTTGTATAAAAGTAAAGTTCTTATATTTATTAATTAAATCTTTCTATAATATATCTGAATAATATTATAGAGTGATTGAAAATCAGTTTGAATAGTTTATAAAATGAATGAAATCATTTATATAAAAGTAATAAGTTATGTGAAACTGTAGCAGAGTCTTAATATAGTTAGAGATATAATAATACTCTTCTCTTTAAGAGTATAGTTCTGATGCTTCTAAGATTACTGAATTAGAAATTATCTTTATTATATAGTAATAGTTATTCACTGATTTAACAGTATATATACTGTATATAATATAAAGAAATAGATGAGTTTTTCTACTAATTATATAGATCTTTCTTTTCTCATCTTCATTCAAATTAAATATATGATAAGTGAGTTTCTTATATATTGATTTAAGATGTGAAAAATATAGTTAATAAGTAACTTACAGATCATTCATTATATTTTATTCTATATATAAAATTCTCTGTAAAAGTAATATATTTTAGAGATAAAGTTAATAATAGTAATAGAATTTTTTAAAAAGATTCTCTTCTCTTATAACACATTTTTCTTTCTTCTTTCTCAATTGTAATAATGAGTGTATGAGAGTATCATTCTTAAAAGATAATAAAGAGCTTATTCTGACATTTTCTAGTAAATAAACATCTTTATAATACAGCTGCAGTCTCTGTAACTATTAAGAAAGCTCAGTTAAAGACAGAGACAGTAGTATTAACAGACTGTGAAAGCACTGCTCTTATTATTATATCTTCTTCTTCTTCTCTCTCTGCTTCTCTTATAACTGTAGTGATAGTTATTATATTTTATAGTAAGATGTCATCTCTTCTACTGATCAGTTTATCTGTGTTTAGTTCTTTCTCTACTCTTTTTATCACTGTTGTGATATTATTCTCTTTCTCAGTTAACACAGTGATATATAACTCTATGTGATTATTCAGAGAGAAATCTGAGAAGAGCTTGATTTCAGAGACAGTGACTTTAAGAAGCTCAATTCATAGTTTCTCTTCTATAATATACTCAAGTTCTGCTCAGAATACTACTGAGTTGAGTCTGCAGAGTTCTGTATTTTCTTTATCTTCTCTCTGTGAGAAGGCTTCAGTGTAATCTCTAACTGATATTATTACTTATCTATACTGTGCTAAGCAGCTGAAGAAAGAGAAGATTTTATATATTCATCTCTTCTCTTACTCTTATTATTTTTATTATATTTGTAACAATAACTTCTATCTCTCTGTAAGTATTATTTTATAGAAAGACATTATATTAGCTCTGACAAGAAGCTCAGATACTTAAGTAGTACAGAGTGAGAATCTCAGAGCTTTAAGTATTAACAAATTCTATTAAGACTGAGAAGGTTTCTCTTACTTATCTGTAAAAAAAGATGAAAGTATAAATCTTTAAGATGAAAAAATATCTCAGAATAACTAATCTTAAGAAGAGATCAGTCAGTATTACTATTAAAAGTATTATAAAGATTAATTACTGATTGAAGAGAATCTTACTTCAATTGAAGCAGATAACTGAGATACTTTATAAATTAATAAATTAATACTTTAAATATCTCTTATACTCTTCTATAGTATGCTTTTCTACAGCACTGCAGTGCTAACTTCTCAGCAGACAAAGATACTAATATCAGAGACTTTAATAATAAAGAATGAGTTTGATAAGAATGTAATTATTAGTAAGTAGACTCTGATCTTCTCTTTTTACTTTTTCAGTGAGCTGCAGCTCTATTAGAATAGCAGCAATCTGTAGATTAATAATATTAATCTTTATTAATTTCAAATATCTCTTTCTTTTCTTATTAACTGCTTCAGAAATTTTATACTTGTATAGTCTTATTAAACTTCTAAAAACTCTTTAAAAGAAAATAGAAGAAGAGTATTATAGAGTTTATAAGATATTAGCTTATTACTATAAGATTATCTTTAAAAAACTCTTTAAAAAAAATAAGAAGTCTTAAGTAGTATTTCTTATTCAATGTCTCTGATATGTAATGAGATAGTCTCTACTAGTTATCTCATAGCTTGCAATCTTCTTTTCTTCAGCATTTTTCAAATACTTTAAGTAATTCTCATAAATTCTCTGACCAATGAATAATCTTCGTATTTAATAAGATATTTAAAGCTTACTGTAATATATTCATTTAATTTAATATTTTCTTTATAGGATATTCAGTATCATTCTCAATCTTTGATATTATTTAACTTAAGACAGCTCTATTCTGAGATATTACTTATAGAGCTTTAAAATAGAAATATGAAAAAACAGAATGGAATTGATTTTAATTCCTGAGAGTACTTTCAACTTATATATCTGCTTATTCATCACTCTTATTACTGAGAAAGATTCTAGTCATCACTTACTAAGCTTCTTATACAGTCTTATTATCTTGATATTCTTTGCTGAAAGTAGTACTTAATTCTCTATCAAGAACTTCATTAAAAGATGTTTTTAATTATAGTATTCTATCTACTACTTTTAAATACAGTGAATGCTTTTCACTGTCTTCTTATAAATTTTATTTAAAAGTTTTAATCTTACTTTTACTTTTAATACTGAGAAATACTCTATTCTTTGTATCTATTCAATATTCTGACTATCTATTCTCTTCTTTGAAATGTCATCTATAACATCACTGAGTAATAAAGAATTATATTCATAATAAGTATAGAAAGAAGATACTTTTAAGATTACATTCTTTATATTATTATATATGAATTCAGTAGTCAGAAGATGTTTGAGTCAATCATTCTGATAATATAAATAGAATACTTAAAGATACTGTTCTAATATCTAATTTTAATATTCAGTCTAATCATCTGTCTGTGAATAAAATATAATACTGAGAAGATGTCTTATTATAAGATGATAGTAAAAAGCTGATCAGTATTGACTGATGAAGAGAGATTCTCAATCTATTATCAATGATTTTGAAGCACTATGATTATAAATGATAGTATCTAAAAACAGATCAGTTAATTCAGAGGTTTTAACCTTTTTATAAATAGAAATATATTTTATCATCTTTATAAAATAGTTAATAATAACTAAAATTGAGTTATATTCTTTGACTCTTGTTGACTTCAGCAGGTCAACTATGAAATTCATTAATAAATTCTATTATAAGCTCTTTGAGACAGACAGTGATGCTAACTCACTATATTACTTATATCACAGAATCTTTATTCTTTAATAGATATTATAAGTTTTAATATACTCTTTAACATCTGTCTGAAGCTTGTTTTAAATGTATTTATATTTTAGAAGCTTCTCAGTCTTCTCTAATCTGAAGTGTCTTATATAAGAATTATTATAATAAATTCTCAATAACTTCTAACACATCATTCTACTATAAGAGATGAAGACTGAATCATTCAGTAGTAGAAGTTCATATTCTTCTAGTTATCAGTGACTTGATTTCTTAGCAGCACTGTCTCACTCAGAGTTTATCTCTTTCAAGTTTAAATCAGATTCTTTCTTCTTTAACTTCTGAATTTAAGCTGTAGTAGAGATATTTCTCTTCTATAATTTATTAATAAATTTCAAAAGTAGTCAGATTGAAAGATTGTAGATCATTTCATTCTTTATCAATTCAATGATAGTAAGATATAACATGAGAAGCTCATGATCTTCAGTGTCAGTTCTCTATAAGAATCTGAGTTTTCTTTTATCTTCTATACTGAGTCACACAGCTGTCTTATCAGCACTGTTCTCAAGCTTCAGAGAATCTCAATTCTCTGCAGTTAGCTTCTTCTGCAGTGATGACAGAGATTCTTTTATAGAATTCTTCTCTGCATTAATAATATTATAATCAGACTGCTTAGACAGTGTATCAGCAGAATTAAGCTGATCTGAATAGTATTAAATATAGA